CGGGCTACCCCCCGGGGCGACCGCTGAGGACTCTGTCCCGCAGAAGTGCATCGCCATGTGCATGGACCGGTACATGGACGCCTGGAACACGGTTTCCCGAGCCTACAACTCTCGGCTGCAGCGGGAGAGAGCCAACATGTGAAGCGCCCTGGCTCCTGGACCTGGGAGGGACCATGTGGGGAAGGGACAAGCGGACAGTCCAGGTGGTTGGGGGCAAGATCCTGCTGCCTTTCCAGCCCCTGCCATGGCAGAGTAATAAACCCTAGCTGAACCTTTTGCATCCGCTGGCTTTTATTAGCACCAACCCCAGGAGTGAGTGAATTTTCCAGCCTTGAGAGCCACCGTGAGCTGCTTGGTTTGCCTCATGCCCTTCCCAACTGTCCAGACTGGCCAAGGCATATAGCAGCTGATAAATTCCTGCTATCTGCAAGAGGCAAGGAGCCTTCTGTGGAAAAGGGGGGCCAAGCAAGCAACACAGTTACATTGCCCAGGAAGCAAGCATGGACCCTGATGGCTCATCAGATAGTTACCTGCTCCCTTTTTGTCAGTGGAAAAGCTGCCATAAGATGCTCCACGTGCTACACTTGGCTCTTTCTTCCCTTGTATTCCTACAGTTGTATGTGGGTTCACTTTTGGGCTTGTAGGCTTTGACTGAGCTCAAGCAGTGTGTTGGAGAGCAGGGGTGCTCTTATAAGGTTTGCAGCATGGCCTTGCAAGTAGTTGTACAAGCACAGCTGGGGATGAAAAGGGCTGGGAAGTACTTAGGTTGATTTCTTTGTAGAATAAAATGTGTTGTGTGGCTGTGATGATATTCTGAAACTTCTGGTTTGGCTCTGGTACAGGCGTTCCATCTTGGAGCCTGCCTTCTAGGCAGCATTTTTTTGAGGGAGGAGCACTTGGGGCTGAGCTCTGTATTGTTCTTGGCTTATACACCTCTCCTGGAAATGTCGGCCTACACTGTGTAGTCAGCAGTGTGCACAGCAGCTGGAAGAGGAGAGTGTTGGATGTTAAAAATGCCTGTGCCCCTGTAGTGAGATTTTTGAAATCCCTTCTTTTGAAGCTCTTCTGTATTTATAAAATATTTCACTGTTTGTTCGGGCAGGGAGACAGACTGGAAGGATGACATCTCTTAGCTGCTAGGACATTCAAAGGGATGTGGGAGAACCTGATTTTATTTAACCTCCCAGTGATGTGGTGGCTTCTATGAAGGACTGAAGTGTTCTCACACAAGGTAAACTATTAGGAGATAACGGGATATTTGGACTATTGAAACTGAACTGGAGTGTCCCATCCAGATTGGGCAGAATGACTACTTGAAAATAAAGTGCTTTCCAGCCATGTTTACTTAGGGGCCTTTTGACTGTTCTTGATGGCTGTATGACTTTTGTGGTACTGGCTGTCAGCAGTCCTGTTTCATTGATGGGAGCATCCCACAAATGTTCCAGGCACGGATCTGAACCCACCTTGAGCTGGGCCGTGCCTGGAAGCCAGGACTCCCATCTTGCTAGTGCTTTAGCTGGGAAAGTGGTGGATCTCACTGCCAGCTGGGTTGGGAAAGAAGAAACCTGTTGCTGTATTCAAATGCAGAGCTTAAGAGCCAAAGGCTAGGAAGGGATTTGGGTTCCTAGCTGCTGTTCAGTTTTGGTGATTGAATCTATGAAGAGATGTCTAAGTCTGCCCAAGACTTGACATATGAGCTCTGCAGCAGTTTTTTTCTTGTGAACAAAGGTGTCTTGTGTGCCTTATGCTGGCTAGTGGGACCTGACTTCCCACTGAAGGAGTTGTATACTTGGGCCACTAGCTAAGCACTTTGAGTTTTTTGCACCTATCTTAACCAGAATGGTGGTCTGTGTGGCTATGCCTTAATCTTTGTCAATTTAATCGCCTTTTCCCTTATGCAAAGGGAGCTGGGGGCCTGGGGGATGTGAGAAGCCTGTCCTGATTCTCTAATACAGATGAGAGCCTGTGCAGTCTTGAGTCTTAAGTGTTTTAGATGTACCTTCTCTTGTGATCAAATTGCTTATTAGCATTGAGTGGAAACAGTAGCATACTCTTTCCAAAAGCCATTGCACAACATAAAAGCTCCATGAAGGCAGTGAAGCCTGAGGTTTCTGCAAGGGCCTAACTCTGGGCTGGGATGAAGTTCACTTTCTCTTGGCTTGGCTTTGGGATGACGGCTGATAGAGAGAAGTCAACCAAACTACATGAATCTTTGGCAGATGTTTTGGGCACCTCTCCAACTAGAAAGGCCACGTTTTAATGCGTAGGATATTTGGCCAGGTCTTAAGATGGGACAGGCCTCATTTATTTATAGAAAATATCTAGTCTTGTATGCAAAGCAGTTGTCAAATGCCCTGGTGTCACAACTGCAGTGGATCACACAACACTGGCATTTGCTTAATACCTGCACACCATCTTCACCACTTTGCAGCATCAAAAAAAATGTACAATAGCTGAGGGTGTGGTTAGTGCATCCTCTGGCAATTACTCCTCTCATTTGTCGCCTTCCCTGAGGGGTGAAATGCAGCTTCAGAGCTTGAGGTTCTGCGCAATCCAGCCCTGGACAGCTGTGACTTTGGTGTAGACACCAGGGAAATATGGCCTGGCACAGCCATAGCCCCAGCTTGTGATTCCTGCTAGAAACCACTTCCCTGAGGGTTCTTTACATGCCAGTGGCCCACCTGCATCACCCTGCAGAGAGAGGAAAAGGGTCTTGTATCAAGTCAAAAAGGCAGCCCAGCCCCCCAGCTGTGAGATATTCTTTCTCTCTGGGACATAGGAGCATTTGCCATCCTGTTCCCCACCTCCCCAGGAGCCTGCTTCCAAGCTGGAGGATTGCTCAGTGATGTATGGACAATCTAAGGTTGGCGTTCTGGAACATGGAAGAGTGTGTTCAGAGGCACAACAGGGTCAGGAAACAGGCTCCATGGTTATTCCTGTGTTCTCTTGCTTGGCATTACATCTCTGCATGTTTCCCTGACCTGTCACAGGTTGGTGGCGCAAGCACAACGAGGTGTATGCAGGATGGACTTGGATAATGGAAACAGCCAGTCGAGATGGATGGACAGACAGAGGGCTGAGCTAGGGGAGGCAGGGCAAGGCCCTCCTGAGATAGCCCGGGGACTTTGGACAAGTTTGCTCTGTCCCAGCTGCAGCATTTGCTGCTCTCACACTCACTGAACAACTGTCGACGGTGCCCTGTGGGAAACCGGCACACACCATCCTGCTGCTGATCTGGACAGGGTAGAACTTTTTGCAGGCCTGGTCTCCAATCATGTTCACTGCTGCTTTTTGCAGATGCTTTGACATGACACCTGAGGAGACAAGTATCACTGTTAGGTTAGTGCAGAGCACGTGAGAAGCAGCAAGCATGTGTAGGAGTGGGGTCTATGTGACTATGCTTGCTCGCCAAAGGGAGACACCTGCACTGGGAAAGTGAATCAGGCCTGGCTCCTTCCCAGCAGACCAAGCACAGGAACGTCCCTTTGGTGTGTAGCTTGTCAGGCAGCTCAGATGACCAGAGAGAAATGGTATCAAGGTGGTCCTTATACTGCAGGAGCACAGCTGGAACAGCTGCTAGAGGGATGGGGAGCACAGTGGCTGGCATGTAGAAAGCTTGGGAAGGCTGCAAGAGGGCAGAGGTGTACAAAATGGAAGAGTGCATTGCATGGTGGCTGGAGAGGAGATTGTAGTGACACCAGGCCTTGCCCAGGTTGGTATCCTCTGCAGGGTCTGGCCTGGTGTAGGGAGTGCTTGGGGCAGTGGAGTAGGAATCATAGATATTCGGGCTCATAGGGTAGGCGGCATTAGCTTGGCTATCATAGATGTGAGTGAGCCCTCTTAGCCAGTACCTCCTTCCTTTGTGGAGCCCCAGCCTGTGATGAAGCATCTGGCTCCTTCATGGAAGATGTGTGAATTGTCTGGGAGACATATAGGTTTGATGGTGTTGCTGAACCTGACAGGCATGTTCAGCTCTAGCAGTGCCACATCATAGTCCAGGCTGTAGATGTTGTAAAAAGGGTGCTTGTAGATACGGAATATTTTCTCCATTTTGCCATCGATGCCACTCAGGAAGGGTGTTCCTAGAAAGGCCACCCACATTTCAGGGTCACTGTAACTGCAGAAAGACAGTAAACCTGGCTGTTAGGAGCATGGCGACACAACAAGGACCGTTCCTCCACTTGTGGGGCTGGGATGTGCTATGGCCACACCTTGTGAGGCCAGGACCCCTGTCTCCATCACACTGTGGACATACCCGGGCTTTGTTCCACTCATTCCTCTTCACACTTACCTGCAGGGTTGCATCTGTAATAGGGAGAGTGTGCTTCCAGTGGGGCACAGCATCCCAGCCATGGTACTGGACTGCGAGGAAGGGGAAGGGCAGGTGGGCTGACGGGAATGAGGCCAAGAGCCAGCTGGCTTCACTAGCCCATCTCAGACTTACATATCAAAGCAGTGAGCTGCAGAGAGCAGCCACCGGTCAGCAATGAGGACAGCCCCACACTTGTGCTCCTTCCGCCGAAGCCAGAGACTGACTTGCCAAGGCCATTCCCCCTGAGCCGCAGTGCTGCCACCCACGATCTTGCTGAAGGCCAGAGCAGTTGTTAAGCCACAGTCTGGGACAGAAGAAGAGGCACCGTGGTTTTAAGTAACTATCAGTGAAAGGGATATTTGCCCTCCTTCCATAGCCCGTGTCGTGGGGCAGCCTTCTGGGGATACATACGCAGGGTGGTAGTGATGAATTTCATTCACTCATCTGAGGCAAGACTTGGCAGACATGGTATGGTTTGGGAGCTTTTACTTGTTATCACAGATCCCACCTTCCAGGGATGTGGACGTGAGGAGGGGCCATTTGGATGGACTGGCTGAGCTGTCACACAGCAAGGAATGTGCAGTCCAAGGAGCAGTCCCAGGGATGACAAGGCATCTTCTGTGCTGCCACATTGTGCAGAGATGTCTTGCCAGCTTGTACTAGCAGACTGACTGGCCAGTGTGTGCTGGGAAATGGGTACTAAAGTTTATAGTATAGGAGGAGAGGCCACATTGCCTGGCAGAAAGTTTGGACCCTGTTCATCCAGCTTTATCTTGTTACAGGCTCTGGCAGACCAAGTAGGATCTGGACCACAAGGGGCTGGCCCAGGCCCCTAGTGTACAATGTGGGGCCCAAGACAGCCCATGTGAAGTTGGTGGGTTACACTGGGGAGTTTGGGTAATGTAGAATAAGGCTGGGCAGCAGTTGCAGGCTGCAAAGCAGTACTCACCGCAGTTGCGCTCGTCAAAGCCGTTGCTGCAGTCAACAATGCCATCACATTTGGGATTTTCTTTTCCAATGCAGACCTTGCTGGAACACTTGAAGGTGAGGCTGGTACAAGGCACCACTGGAAGGCAGTAACCCATGGCCTGTCAGTACCCTCTATGCTGGGGTTGGAGGTTCCTACCAACATGTCAATAAACCTGTCATCAATTTTACCTGGGGTTTGGGTGGGCTTGGAAGGTTCAGTGGTTTTCAGGGCTGTGGAGATTTCTTTCATGGTTGTGGTCATCTTCATCCCCATGGTGGTTCTGTTGATTGGACTTGCAGCTGTTGCGCTGGGCTGGTGGGTGAGGATGGTGCTAGTAGAAGTTCTAGTGATGGCTGAACTGGAAGGGCTGCCTGTGCCAGGGCTGGGCAACTGTGAGATGGTATCCAGGATCCAGTCTTTGAGTTTGGTAATTCTGGAGTACACACCAGGTTTTGTAGCCTGCGCACAACCAATTCCCCAACTCACGATGCCAGCCAGATAAAACACTCCCGGGGTCACCTCACAGGCCAAGGGTCCACCTGAATCTCCCTGAGGAAGAAGCAAGGCAATGGCTGGTCAGCCCAGTCTCCCTAAGAGAGGTCTACATGGTGCTGCCCCTCAGCCACACTGGGAGGACCTAGCTAGCCCCAAACTCTTCTTTCTCCAGCCCCACAGGGCTGTCTGCTGCCATGTGGTGTGTGTGCAAGACACGAATGTGCAGAGGCTGAAACTTTTTTGAGCTAAGGTACATATGGATTACAGCCTGGCCACAGCAGCTCAGTAAATATTTCCCAAGGATGTGCTGAGGCTGTGAGTTATCCCAGCTTTCTGGAACAATCCACAGAGGAGTAGAGAAATCCCAGACTCTTACCTGGCATGAGTCTATCTTCCCCTCCAGGAAGCCAGCACAGATCATGCTGTCAGTGAGGGAGAAGTTATAGAGGAAGTTGCAGGTCTTCTGGTCTATGATGCCCACAGAGGCTTTCTGCAGGATCTCAGGCTTGGTGACTGCACGAGAACCATGGGATTAGTGACTGCAGCAGAGGGAAGTGGGAGCTAATGGCTTTTAGACTGACCCAACACATATTTCAGGAAAACAGGCTCTAATCCCACACAGTCCTATATGAGCTACTCTCCTAGCAGCCCTGCAGCTTCTGGCTCCCCCCAGGGTGCAGTTTCATACCTGTGCAAAGGATATTGCACACAGGCAGCAAGTTTCTGTTGTTTTGACAGCTTGTGGGCCCCTGGTCAACTGTTAGAGGGACAGTAGGGCTTCTTTGGTAGCACACATGCCACCCTCAGACCTTCTATCTACAATGGGATCTTTGCCTTTTCTAATTGCTTGAAACATCTTTGGTTTCTGAGGCTGGCATACTGTCCTGCCAGAGCTACAGCAGGCCACTGAGGCAGTGCCCCACTCTTGCTTAACATGGGAGAACTGCTGAGGTGAGCCCAGCAGGTTTCTCCTGGTTCCTGCCAAGCTGCTTTCTCCATTTGTTTGCTGGTGGCTCTTAAATAACTGTGGTTTAAGGTAGTGCTCTGTGTGCCCCTATTCTCACTTATTCTTGTGTTTCTCAGTTCCTGACTGTCCCTGTTACTGTCCCCTGTCCTGTATGCTCCCAGGACTGTCTGGGTCACAGTGGCACAGGCTTTGCTGCTGAGCCTGCCTCTGCTACGGAGCAAATCAACTGGTAATGCATCATTGCTTACCGTTCCCTTCTTGGAGGTTACCCCACCCAGAAATGATGCATTTCTTGCCAACAGGAAACTTCTGCACAGCAAGTGGGAGACAGATGGGCTGGATGTATTTGTTGAAGAGAAGAGGTCTTGCCAGTTCAAGTACAGCCACATCAAAGTCCAGGATAATAGGGTTGAACAGGGGATGTTGGATCACTCTTGTTACATTGACTTTCACTGCATTCCCATCTGTTCCATTTAGTGATGTTGTGCCCACGTAGGCTTTGATCTCTTCTGGATTTGTCCTGCAAATACATAAGCCTAAGCATGCATGCTCACACACATACGCCTAGCGTGAATTCTGACATTTAAACTGCAGACAACTTTAAATGATCAGGGTTTGAAACCTTAACTTTACCAAAGCAGAGCCCAGCACACAGAAGAGCAGCTCTGCTAAATCAGGCCCAAAGAACTGTTTCCAGCAGTGGCACATGTTGGATGTCTCCTGAAGAGCAGTTAAGCATGTAGTAATCCTCTCCTTACCTCCAGAAATTGGTGATTTCAGGAGTGTTCTGGCACACAGATGGTGTCTCTGTATTCAGTAGGTCTTGATGGATTTTTGGGTTTTATTTTAATTTTTCTAGAGTTGTGTTTTATTCCTCTTTTTTTAAACCCATGTGGATTTTAAACATTCAGTTTAATGACATTTATGAAGAACTGCTTCCTTTTGCTTGTTTTCCACCTGCTTTTGGTGGTTGTTTGATATCCTAGAAAAACAGTAAGAAGGTATTCCCCAAACACTTTGTCTCTATGCTTCGCAATTGTATAGTCCCTTTCACACACTCCCTTCCCACCTAGTTGTCTCTTTTCCCAAGTCTAGCCTGATCTATTTTGTCATGCTTGTTATGGATGCTGTTCCGCACCCAGCTCATCCTTGTGTCTTGTGTTAGCCTTTTTACAATATGTTATTCTAGCACTGAATGCAATGTTTGAGTATTCGGTATGCTGTGGATTACCAGCAACATACTGGTAATCTCATCTCAGTTGTTTTTCTAATAATTACTAGCATTCACTTGCTCTTTAATTGCCACTGCCCACAGAACTGCTGTTCTCATGGCAATATCCACAGTATTTTTGACCTCTTTTTTTCTGAATGGTAAAGCTGATGGAGACCCATCATCATCTGCAGAGAGATAGCACTGCCTTTTTGCTATGTGCCTCAGTTCACACTTGCCTACCTTGCTTTTCACATGCTGCTTTATTGACCAGCATAAGGTTTTCTTGAAACTCTTCATAGTTAGTCCCTCACCTTTTCTGCCTTCAGAATTTTTATTCTTGACAAACATTATTCTCTTGCTACTCATTTCTTTAGGTTATTTATAAATCTGGGCTTGGGCTCTTGCTGTTTTACAGAACTATGCAGGACTGAACTGACCACATGTTTCTATTTATTTCCTATATTACAGCCAATTTTTAAAGTTAAATATCTTGAAGAAACTCTCTTGTGGCACCTGTCCTTTCCCATGCCTGTTAAATGTGTTGTCCTTGCTCCCTGCCCAGGCTACTGTAACCTTTCCCTGCCTCATCCCAGCCTCTCCACAAAACCCTTTTTACTATGAATCTCTAGCTATAACAAAAATTAATGTCCAATGTGTGTTCTTGTTTTTCTGCAGTGACTCCAGTGCCACAGCTATGGGTTTGGCTACACAGCTGCATAGAGCTGCACAGCTCTGTGCCGCTGGGCAGGCATGCTGGGACAGCAGTGCTAGCAGGGATGCACTCTTACTCATTGAAGCAGTGAGCTGCCGACAGCAGCCAGCGGTCCCCAATTATGGTGGCTCCACAGAAATGCCTTGAGTCTTCTTTCAGGCTGACTTGCCAGGGGATCTCTCCTCTGGAAGCATCTGTTCCTCCCACAATCTTGCTGGATTTAGAGAACCCGGGTCGTCCTCCACACTCTGAACAAAAGCCAAAGCATGACTTGTGAGTACTCCTAGCAGAAGACCAGCAAGGAGAGACTTTTGTTCTTCCTGACCAGTAAGTCTGAGCAGGGTCAGGTCAGGGCTGAAGTGTGAGGCATCTGCCCAAGCTCTGCCTGCTGATCATGGCAGTCCCTGATGGTGGCTGTGCACAGCCATACACAGGCTTTCACCCTAACTGCTGTTCTGCATCTTGCTCTCAGCAAGTCTTTAATCCTGTGCCTTTCTCAAAGGCCGAATAACCAGCAGCTCTGTGCCTCTTTGCCTTGCCATTCCAGACAAAAAGTTAATCCTAAATTTAGAAAAATACCCTACACCTGTATCTCCCTACAGAGGTGCTGGGAAGGCTCCTTGGAGCTCCATAGACACCTGCTCCCCTTCAGGGAGAAGATGCATGGCTGCTGTGAAATTGCAGCCGTCAACTTTGAACTGCTGGGAGATCCTTAGGTAGCAAACAAAAGTGAGTGGTTGACAGGTAAAACAGTGTCAGATGCTGCTGTGCCTTAGTACCTTGTCCTGGCCCTGCTGGAGCAAACCAATTAGACAAAGGACAAAAATACATATTCAGTTGCATAAGCAAAAGAACCCATGAAACTCATCTGCACAGGTACTGAGTGATTTTGCCAGGCTGCTCTGGGCTGAGCTGGGGCAGCAGATAGTGTCACTTGTGCCTTGGCCCTTAGCACTTGGGCAAGAATTGTGTGGGTCACCCTACTGAAGGTCATTTCACCTCAGCGGAAGAACAAACCTGACATATGGACCTGACAAGGTGCACCCACCCTGTGTGTGCTCATACCTTGTGGTCTCGATGCAGTCACTGGCTTGCTGGCAGCTGGGGCTGGTGAAATGGTGGGGATTGCTCTGGTGGTGGTGGTGGTGTTGAGCTCTTCAGAGCTGACCACGTTACTATTAGTACTGGAGTGTACTGGAGGGACAGTATGGGCTATGGAGGTGGGGAAGGCAGAAATAGCATCCAAGATCCAGTCTCTGAGCTTGGTAACACGTGTGTAAACCCCAGGACGCCTGGCTTCAGCACATCCAATTCCCCAACTCACAATTCCTGCCAGGAAAAACTTGCCAGATGGTTCTTCGCAAACCAGAGGCCCACCAGAGTCACCCTGCAAGAGAAGCCAGACAGTGAGCTCTCCATGGCCACCCTCAGCATACCTCTGCTAGACTGTGTCTCTCTGTCCCTGTGTGTCCCAGCTCACCTCTGCTTATTTGCACCAGCCTAGTGATGAGTGAATCATCTCCTGTGCTGGCCTTTGTGTGCTCCTCTATGTGAACACACTGTCCTGCTATTAAGCAGTAGCCTTGTGCCCTTGATATGCCAAGAGCACAAGGACATCCACCATAAAATCTAGGGTAAGCATTTCTACTGGTTTAATCATCTGTTGCTGTTCTTAAAGGTTAAGCCCGGCAGCCCCTAAACAGCCAGATGATGGGTGTTCATTGCACGATACGCAACCCAGGGAGACAATGCTAACCTTTGCATTATGTTTTCTTGGTTTGGCCTATGGTTCCCTGCTGAATTCTTTGGTACTGTGGAGCCATACAAGTGTCACTGATGTAGGACATGTGGTGTCTGTGAAGCTGGCAGCACCTTCTGGGGGTTGGATTGCTCTAGGTGAATAATGAGTAATTGGATGAGTCATGTTTATCATCCAACCTTGAATCTTCTATTCTTGGGCCGCTTCGCCGGTGTTTGTGCTATATTTGGTGCAGAAAATTGAAGTGCTACTACTAGAGAAGTGCAGTTTTGCTCAGCTGGTGGCTGTGGGTGTGAAGGGCCGTGCGAAACCACAGGGACAGCCATGGAAATCACAGTCCACCAACACAACACAGATCAACACAGTCCTTATCTCCCCACAGATTGTGAAAGGCAGGATTTTCTCCAGCTGACCACTTGCAAATCCAGACTGGATAAAGGCTAACTAGGGAAAACACCAAGTTGTTCACCAAAAACTGTTGTGTATGTTTTAGTTTCCACTGCTGCCCTTTGCCACCTGGGTTTTGATCTGAGGACCTGACAGCTACGTTGGTAGGCACCAGCCCTGATGACAGCTCTGGAAGTAGAGAAAAATAGTTAACTAGCCAAAAGAGCCCCTTAAACTCTGCTCTAAGCACTAGAGAAAATATCCTCATTTTTGTCTTCTGCAGTCCCTGATATGTGCTTCAGCCCAAGGCATGGCCTCAAACCTTGGGGGGAAACTGTGACTACAGACAGATCCTGATCCTGCTTCTTAGAAGTGCTGCTTGGTGCATACTGGGAGGGAGGAAAAGACTCATTGCAGGGAGGTGTGCCAGCTTCCCTGGGCAAAGTTTACCTGGCAGGAGTCGATTTTCCCCTCTAGGTAGCCAGCACACAGCATCCTGTCTGTGAGGACGTGGCTGTAGAGGCTGGAGCACAGTGTCTGATCCAGCAGCTCCACTGTTGCTTTCTGCAGGAACTCAGGTTTCACCACTAAACAAGAAAGATGTGACTGTCAGCTCACTGCAGGGAGCCTTTCATGGGACCAGCTCCCCATGTTACAGCTCAGTCTGGCTGTCCGGAGCATGGCCTGAGTTCCCTTCCATGGTGCCTCCTGCACCACTCACGCCCCACTCACACCTCATCTGCCACCTGCTGTGCTGTGCTTACAGAAATCCTCCTTGAGGTAGCCCCAGCCGGAGATAAGGCACTTCTTGCTGGTGGGGAAGTGATGCCCAGCGTCTGGCAGGCACACAGGCTGGATGTACTTAGTGAAGGCCACAGGTCTCTTCAGCTCCAGCACAGCCACATCATAGTCAGCTGTGTCAGCGTTGTAGGAGGGGTGCAGGATGATCCGCGCAATGCCCATTTTCACTGCACTGCTGTCCGAGCCTCTGAGGGAGGTGGTCCCTGTGTAAGCTGCCCACATGGCTGGGTCCTGAAACCTGGAAAAGAGACAGCCAGGACCGTGTGAGCCTGCAGCCACAGCATCGCCCTGCAAACCAGAGCCGCTTGGTGCTGCCTCCTGCTCGTTCTGCCAGCCGCCCTGGGACAGGAGGTCTCTGTGGTTTAATCTGGTAGAGGAAGGAAACCAGGCATGATGGGGCAGTGTGGTACAGCAGGAGCTTGGGCCGGAAGATGCAGCAGCATTTGGAAACCTGGGAGGGCGGGGGGCAGGTAGCGTGGCTGGAGCTTACTCAGTAAAGCAGTGAGCGGCAGACACCAGCCACTTCTCTGTGAGGACTGCAGCGCCGCAGAAGTGCTCATTGTTCTCTCGCAGGCTGACTTGCCACGGGAACTCCCCTCTGGATGCCTCTGAGCCTCCGACTATCCTGGTGGCAGTCTGCATGGCAGGGCGGCTCCCACAGTCTGAAAGGGGGGAGAAAGCCAGGGCGTCAGGATCATGCCAGCTGTGCCCCAGTAAAGTGCTCTGGAGGGCAAGTGGGAAAAGCTCCTTCAGCTTTGTGCATGCTCCCAGCACATACTCAAGCAGCAGGACATTGCCAGGGATGTCACAGGGCAGACTTTAACCTGCAGGCTTGGAAAAGAGCACTGCAAAGCACTGGCCCATCATGGCAACCTCCTTGAAACTCTTCTAAAGCAAGAAATTCTGGAGAGAAATATCTCAGCTAGTTCACAAGCTCAGACATTGCCTTGTGATCTGCTCCCAGCAGCTCATGGGCATGTGGTGCCTTCCCAGCATGCCAGCCCACCAGGAAGGTGGGCCTTGTCATGACCCTTTACACTTGGTGGTGGGACCAAGGTGTTTCTAGGATACAATTCCCCTCATCCTGATGCAGACATCTACTATTGGCCTGACAAGCTGTGCCATGTCCTTGGCTCTCTTCAGTGCCCAGAAGCCCAGTGGTGTTACAGCTGTCAAGATCTGCAGCAGTGGGTTGTGGCCCGTCACCCCTGTCCAGGAGACCTGCTGCGAAAGACTCACCACAGCCCCTTTCATCAGAGGCATCAGCACAGTCTTTTTGGCCGTCACATTCAGGGTTTTCTTTCCACACACACTGGATGTTGAGGCAAGTGAACGTGCCTCCAGGGCAGCTCCCTGGGGACAGCAAGGCTTGAGTCACTTGGGTCTTCTACATCCCTCCCAGCAACTGTTCCCCAGCTTCCCCAGGGGCAACCACCACAGTGTCCTTGTTGCTCTGCTCCCTGGCAGTGCCAGTGTCCCTGTGGGATGGAGCTGTGAGCAGAGCTGCAGCTCTTGTTGAGCTTGCAGGGGGAAAGGGGTGCAGGGCCCTAGACCACCAGGTTATGAACAAGATGGGGCCCTAACACCTCATATCTACAGCCAGGCCACCAGTGAGGAGGAAGCTACAGGTCAGGCTGCAGAGCGCAGCCAAGGGAGCTGGGCTAGATGTCTGTTCCTGCTGCCTGGCTCTTACCTGATTTCAGTCCAGGTCTGTGGGGAGAAACCTCACTGGGACCTGTGACAAAGTGGAAGGAATGGGGATCAGTGAGGGCATCCCCGTCAGGGGCACAGGAGCTGCGTGCTGTCGTGGACTGTGCTGCTCCCAGGCCAGGGCTTCATCTTTTCCTCCTGCCTGGCACTTGCTTTCCCTGCCCCAGGCCAGCAGTGAGCTCCTGGCGCAGTTCCCTTCCCCGGGTCCTCAGCTGCTGCCCCGCGGGCACAGCGCGCAGCGCCGGAGCCGCGCTCTGCAGGCTGCCGGGGTGATCCCAGGCGCAGGGAGAAATTCCCAAGCGCTGCGGCAGGGAGCTGCCTCCCAGGGGCAGGCTCCAAGGCTGAAGCTATGCAGGGCTGTTGCCTAAAGCCAAGGGGTGTCTGTGCACCCTCCATTTGGGCTGCAAAAGGCTCCCAAAGATGCAGGGATCCTGCCCATCGTTGCAGGGACTGCAGAGGGAGCTGCAGAGGAACCCACACCTTCATGTTTCCAGACACATGATTTTTTAAATTGGCTGGACCCGGAGTCCTATGGTCATCTGCAACTCCACAGTCACTGAAGGAAAGGAGAGTTTCTAGTCAGGTGGTTTCAGAGAATAATTCAAATATGAGAAATATCTACCTAAGCAGGAATTATTGCTACAACTCTGAGGACTGCCTAAGGGTTGCTGTGCACTTGTAGGTGCAGACAACACAGCAATTAACCTCCTGAGGCTTGACCTCCTGACCCTCAGGCTGGTTCCAGGGCTGCAAGAAAAGCCAGAGAAGCTGCAATTTATGCTTTAGGCTCTGTTGTTGCTGCAGGCCCCCAAAGCTGCTCCTGCAGGTCAGAGAGCAGAGAACAGCATTAGCGTTGAAGGGGGACCTGGGGACTCCCCATGAATGTTTGTTCAGCAACCGCCAAGAGCTCAGCGTGTTACTGCTGCTGTTTTGTGAAGCTGGCAGCACCTGGGAGCCAGGCAAAGCATCTTTTGTTGGGTGCCTGGCAGAACCTCCGTTTCTAACGCTGCTGGGCATGAAGCCTTGACAATATCCAACGCTAAAGCCCTGCAGCAGTTTGGCTGAGACACAGTTTGTGATTTTGCTGGTGTGACCTTTGGTGCTAGAAGCACAGGCCACCTTGCTCTGGCTGCCCAGCAGTTTGTGGAAGGAGCATACCTGTAAGAGACACTGAGGATATAGTCCCATAGGCAGCCAGCGAGAGACCCTGCTCCTGCAGGGCAGCTGCCAGCCCGTGTCTGAGCGCTTCCTCCTCCATGGTAGAGCTCAGGGGCTGGGAATCCTGGGGGGCGAAGCGGAGGCGGAAACGAACAATCACACTTGAGTTTCAATTCCTCCCGGAAGCCAGA